CTGGCGCAGAACAGACATGTGGCATCAGGGAAGCTGCTTTGTGGAACAGCTACTGTATGATGAATGTCTAGTGGTGCACCAAAAACCCTCAGCTTGCTGAGCCTTCCGAGGCGTCTTCCAAAGTAATTGTCCGCATCACATGCTCCCCGCAGACTTGGATTTTGCCAAGGCCACCACGTCCGGGTCGGTTTGGTGCGCCTGGTGTGAGAATTCAAGAGCGTTTCATGTAGAAGTAATGCTGGATGCGAAAATACTTGCCAACAGCACGCCCAGCAACCCCGGTGCCAGTAACCAAACGCTCGTGTGTCATGACTGCCGGTGCTGCTGTGGTGATGGTGTATGATGGTGGTGATTTCGGTGCTGCGACTGCCGATTGGGATTGTGACTGTGGTTGTTGCCGTTGCGGCTGCTTGTGCGGTTGGGCTTCGTGTGCTCGCTTCGGTTTGGTTCTGATACTAGGATAGTACTCCAGCAACGTGAGTAATCTTCCCGGACTGAGCTCCTCGACACAAAGAGCTTCTTATTCCGAAGGCTCTTGGGGTCAACCTGGGACAGAGAAGGGAAGAAGGGAGAAGGAAAAAAGCTGAGGGGAAGCGGGCTCTCGGTCCTCGGTCTCCTCTCCACTGTAAAAGGAGCGTCCTCACCCCAGAAAACTTTCATTGTGCTGTGCCCCCATGGATGTGCCAGGCTGAAGCCGAGCTCTGGAAAGCTTGCCCTTGGCCTGCAGTTTCGATTTGAGGCGGGACGTGCCTTGCTGGTTTAGGGCTCAGGGCATCGGGCTTGAGGAGTGGAAGAAACCAAAAGCATGCAGAATCCCAAGAACCGTTGGAGGATTTCCGAACCGGCTCTGCGCAATCAAACTGCTCTTGAAAGCACCGGGCCCTAAGAGACAACAGAAGCGTACCGTTTGGGAAGTCTCTTGCCGAACTCTTTTACAACACCTCTTGGTGTGGGCCCGGTCTTAAGGTATGAAGCTACCGAGTGCGTCGTAAGAGCTACTGTACTCTGTCAACAGAACGCTGACTCATGACGTGATCTTGGATTCTTGACATTGCTTCGGGTGTTGCTGGGACTCGTAAGCTTGATGAGGAGCAGCCTAGACGCAGGTAAAGGTATCAGTGCCATTATGATGCTCCTGCTTGTCATTGCTCCTTGCTTGGATACGTTCGCTTTTACTTTCGTGCAATTGCATCCAGCAGCCCGATACCTTTGGTGAACGTGCTTGCAGTGGTGCTAGTGGCGACGCTGGTGATGGCGGCGGTGGTGGTGCTGGTGGTGGTAACGGCAGTGCTCGCATCAAGGACTGTTGCAGTACTTGTCCAGGTCCAGAGTCCTGTTCATTTCTGTTCTGCATTGCTGTAAGATCCGAGTGGCGCACGCACGAATTCAAGCAAGCTAAGGAGCCAAACTGAGGTTACCAGAATAATGAGCCTGCCATCAGCTCTAGCGCCCTAGCGGCAAAGCTACTGCCACCGGTCTCAAACATCAGATGGACGTGCCGCGCTGCTAGCCCTAAAAGCACTAGCCAAGGATGCTTTCTTGCAGGGATGACGCCCTCACAGTCATACCTGAAAGGGGCAATTCACTGCAAGATGCCGTGAAACCACTTCTCAGAAGATACCACACTGGTGGCATTCATCAACGATCTCGATTAGCCTCTGCGCCGGCCCACCAACAATAGCAACAGTATCATTCTCAAGACGTGGCCTCAATTTTGTGCAAAATGGGCGAGGGCCATAAAAAGCTACAGGTGGTCACCACACTTCCTCATCTCCGGCGTGAACGTCAACAGCTTTGACGTCCGAGCCTTCATATTCGTTCCGGCAAGCTGCAACACAATTCAGATGTCGCCTGAGCCTTCGAGCGCTCCAGAACTCCTTGCTGCAGACTTCACGTCTGCCTCCCAACGCTAACCCTAGGTCTGATAGCCGAGTATGGTCCCACCAATCAGGCTAGGAAGGAAGGCCGGCGAACCTGTTGGAACTCCTTGGGCTGCGTCATGCGGTCGTTGCCTAGTAAGTTGATTGCTGTCTTCCTCTTGGATGCGAATTCCAGGTTTGAGATCCGTGAAAGACTTGATGCTGCGAACCCCTCGGCCAGATGCTGAAAATTTCATTGATTTCTTGAAGGAGCATGAGCTGTCTACACAACAACTGATGAAGAAGGTCATGAACTGGTTGCGTGGCGAACTCGTGCTTGGGGAGCAAGCTGTATCGACTAGCTTGTGTTTCCCTGTGCACTTGATGCCTGCTCGCTTACCGTTGGTATTCCACCGAGCTTCTGTGATTTGCGAGGGCATGATCATTTTCCTGCCTTGCTTGAGCTTCGGTGGTGCAAGGGTCCTGTGTGTCGGAGACACACTTGCAGCACATGCACACTGCCTATGGCCAGGCTACACTCACCTTCAAAACGTGAATGAACACGTGAGGGCAGGACTTGTCGCAAAGTTTCCGAAGTCGCCTGTGTAACCCAGAAAACAGCACATTTCAGGGCAGCAGTGGGATGTCATCAGACAACGGCGTCATGCTCGTAGAGCTTGTTTCCGCGTCAAGCAACAGCTTGACACGGATCTGAAAGCATGGTGTTTCCCTGCTTGGAAGGGCGGGGTGTCAGGTCACACACATGCAGACAAGCAGGAAGGTGGTTTGTACTGGCCAAGCTTGGCAAGTCACCACCATCAAGAAACTTGAGTCCAGGGATTCAGCTGCACATGTGCGCATTGCATTCCAAGAGTCTCGACTCAAAGGGTGTGCTGAGCTTGACAGGTAGGTCCGTGGTGTCATGAAAATTGCTTTGCAGTTGCGGAGTGTGGCACCCAGTGGCTGTAGAATGGCCGTCGCAGAGTGTGTGGATGTGTCTGTCTATGCTGAAGAATTGGTTGCCCTGCCAGAGTTGGTGCGCGGTTTCCTTGGGCTGCAGAGTAACCGGGCTCCGGGAATAACGACGATTCCGGCTGAAGCGTACAAGCTTGCCGCCAGAGAAGCCGCCAGAGAAGCTGCTTCAGTTCATTGGCCGATCGCTGTGTCCCCGTAGGTTGGGCTGGAACGCGTGTAGGTATCGGAAAGCCGCACAAACCACTCAATGTGACCGCAAGTTGGCACAGCACAGCCTTGTATGAGGCCGCCAAAGGATTCGCTAAGGCTTTCCATAACGCATGTGGCCGGCTTTTGGATGCATCGGCAAGAACACACAGTGTGGTGTGCAGCGTGGTTGCCCAATAGAGCTTCCTTCACATGCTGCACGAGCTTACGTTCAAGTAGCCAGGAGCCATGAGGCAAGGTTCTTCTGGTGGTGTGCTTTTCGTTGATGGCAGGTGCGCTTACTACAGCACTCTGAGAGAGCACTTAGTCGGCATTGATGCCCTTAGCAATGTCGACCACGTTGAAAAGATGCCGGAAGCTTTGCACACGCATGAAGAAACTCGATCGGCTTTGGTCGCAAACCTGTTCGGGCCGGGTTGGTTGGAGAACAATGGCAACCCGCCAGGCGTTTGCAGTTACGTAAGGGCTGCGATGCGAAGCTCGTGGTTTTCATTGCAAGCTGGTACGAGACGGCTCCAAGAAACAGCGACGGGAACGATTCCGGGTACACCACTCGTAGACCTGCTGTATCAGGAGATTCAAATGATGATTTATAATGGACTTCAGCGGAGGCTTGGGTATGTGGGCTTGGAGGCGGTGTCCCTGCATGGTGAGACGACAGTGCCTGTGCCATGTTGGGCGGATGACCTGGCGATTTTCCTTTCATTCTGTGACGCTCATGCTGACTCATGCTGTTGTTCCCCACCTGCGAGCTATAACTCGAGAATCGGAGCACTGCTGCAGGGGCAGGTGCGCGGCTGAATTACGATGCGGGCAAGACCGAAGCTTAGTCTTCCTCAGAGACTCTGCAAGCCACGAGGTCAAGCGCAGGGACATCTTGCGAGCGAGAGCCCCATTGTTCCTGTTCCAGCTTTTCTGAGCAATGGCAGCACTGTCCAGTTACGACTCGTGCAGTTTTATGCTCATCCTGGCGGCAGGGTTTGTCAGACAGGATCGTGCCCGGAGGAGGAGATCACAGGTGCAGAATCCGGAGAATCCAGATACATCCGCCCTGCTTCTTCCTACACAAAAAAACCACCACGTCAGTTTTCACCCCCCGAAAAAAAACAGGGGGAGATTTCCCGCCCCATGGCAAAGAAAAGAGACACCGCTCCGAGGCCGAGCGCCGGGGCGAGCGGCGAGCGCCAGGCGCTTTTTGCTTTGCTTGGAAAGTCCGCCAAAGCCCGAGCTCTGCTGCTTTTTTGTGAAAAGTTTCCGGGGAACTCGGCGTGGCCGATGTTTTTTTTTTTTTTTTCCGGGGAACTTCCGTCGAAGTGGGCACGAGCTTGGGCATCCTGAGTGCAGCGCCCGAGTTGGGAAACTCCGTTGCCCACGCCGGGTTGCAACTCAGTTTGGCACCGTGGTCAGGGCAATCTCCGCTAGGGCCGCGAGGAAACTCGTTGGGCGGCTGGGCACCCAAGTTGGACACCCCGACTCAGGGTGACGCAACGTTCCGCTTTTCTACTCTTCCACTCTTCTGCTCTTCTATTCTTCTGCTCTTCTACTTCTACTGCTTCTACTTCTGCCTCTACTTGTCTTGCTATCACCACCACTATTGCTGTTAGTGCTAGTGCTAGTGCTAGTGTTGCTACAGCTACTGCTGCTACGTTCTGCGCTCTTCGTTCTGCGTTCTGCGTACGGCGTATTACGTACTACGTACTACGTACTACTACTACTACATACTACGTAGTACGTACTACGTACTACGTACTACGTACTACGTACTACGTACTACGTACTACGTACTACGTACTACGTACTACGTACTACGTACTACGTACTACTACTACTACTACTACTACTACTACTACTACTACTACTACTACTACTACTTTTTCTTTCTGGGTGGCTTGGTGTCCAGAGGACGCGCCTCATGCTCGTCTAAATTCAAGTGAAACGGGAAAAGAAAGCAGCGAGTCCTTACTCGCGGGCCGTAAAAAGGCCACGCGAGCGTTTCTCAAAACCGCTTTCGACAGCCCAAGAGGTCAAGGGCTCTAGGCAACGGAGTGCAGCCCCGGAGGCAAGGAAGCTGGCAGGGGAGGAGGCGGACGCCTGGAAGAAAGCGCCAAGACTGTCACAGGCCTGCTCCAGCCAGGCAAAATGCCGACGAGCACAGGCGAGAGGTACACTTGCCTGGAACGGATAAACCATAGAAGGCAGAGGTGGCTCATCGAGCCTGAACGTGGCCTCGGGACCCGTCAGAACAAAGGAACAGCGACAGGCCTTCGGCGGTGCCAGTGCCGCACAAACCGCCTGCTGCTGCCTGCCTGCTTTGGGTCTGCGAAAGTCATCGCACCACAACTCCGGATCAAGAAGAAGAACGGCATCAGAGGCGCACTCAGCACATCCTGGCTGCGCATGCTCATGGACCGCCCAAGCTTCAAGAGTAGCCTTCAAGACAGACAACGGTTCGACGAAGTCGACGACCGTACTCCAGACAAGGTCGGGGTCAAGAGCAGGAAGGTGCAGCAAGGCCTCAAGAAGGCCGGGGTGGATGACAGAGGCGTCAACACTAGCGGGCCCCGCACCAATTTCCCCAGGGAGCAGACAGGGTGGTCTCTGCTCGTGGAGAGCCGGGAGCGTGCAAGGAGTTCCCCCCTCGGGCTGGAAGGCGCCCCACCGCGTGCGGCACACTGCGGCATGGAGCAGATGACGCCGAAGTCGGTTGTGATTGGCATAAAGTCGACCGCAGCCTGCACAGAAGGGGGTGGCTTGCTCACGGGCAAGGAGAGTGGCGGGTGCTCTGTACCCGTGGCACTTAGCAGCGTGCACGGCCCATGCGGCCCGAGACGAGAAGGCCACGCGGCACAACAGGCAGGCGTCGCGGAACTCAACCACTGCATCGGGGTCTGTGGCATCCGGTCGGGTCGCACATCCGACAAGGCACAGGGCCTTATGCACTGCCTGGAAAGCAGCATATGCTCCAAGCCTGAGGCACTCAAGTGCACGGGCGCGTTTGATGAGGCCTCGAAACAGTCGCGGCCTTTCCAACATAACACGGACCCATCCATCCCAAGCGGTGGCCGGATCCCCCAGAGGAGAGGTATCACAAACCCAACGGTAGAGCCACCTGCACGCATCTTGAACGGCCCCGGTAAACGCCGCTTCGTGCTTAAGCAGCGCCCACAGCACGTCAGGCCCCGTGGCCACAAGCTGGCGGGCATAGCGCAGGCGTTCAACCCGCAGGATGGTGAGGGCATCCGGTTGCCCCAGCAAGGAGCACATCGCCTCCGTAGAGATTTCCTGATCTGCGTTGGGATGGACGCACAGACACTGTCGATACATAGCGCCCAGGCAACGGCTGAATGCCTGGAATTCGCCAATGCGCAGGGTCCCCCACGAGCCACTCCCGAAGAGAAGTCGGGAAAGCACAAGCGAGCGTAGGAGGTTACCCTTGCGCACCAGAGTCAAGCGTTTGGACCGGTACACCTTTGTGCGACCCTGACGGAAGGCGACCCAGGCCTGGGCGATGCGTTGCTTTACCTCGGAACCAGCAGCCGCAACCTGTACACCAAGGTGTTTGTAAACTGAAACGAGTGGCAGTCGCTCGCCAAGGCGGTGCTCGGAGACAACGGGGACTGTGGCAGTCCCTGTGAAGAGACAGCGCCGAGCCTGCCTGGCACCCTTGCCGCGCAAGGCCACGACAGCGGCTGTCTTGCCAGGGCCAAAAGAGAGGCTGTAACCGTAACCCGCGAATGCATCAACCAACACGGAAGTTTCAACACCGAGCCGAAAGGCAGCCGTGGAGGGCTCAGCCAAGCACAGGTAAGAGGACACGTCATCGGCCCACACAACTTCCGTGAGAGGAGCGGCAATGGAGGGCTGGATAGAGCTGCTGAAGGTCCGGGCCCCATCCCACAAAACGAAGTTGGGCTGGCTGCACACCGTCTCTCCAAGCACTTCAGCACGGAGTTGATCCCTCAGGGCCAGGATGCCCGGGACGGTGACCCCGAAGAAAAGGTCGGCCCACGAAGACCCGGGACGACTGCCTTTGGTGGTAACGATGTGTTGACAGTCGCCCTTAAGGGTCATCCAGGTGTTGTGATTGAAGTCGTGCGTCAGCGCTTCCAACCACGGCTCCGCGCCGCCCGCTCGGAGAGCACTTGGTTCCTCAAGCCGAGTAGCGACTTCAGGTGGAACAAGAGGGCCCGCAGGGTCGTCTGCATTGAGGTCCCGAGCAGTCAGACCCCGGACAGCATTGTAATAGGCAGCTGCCACGTCCGCAAACAAAATCGCCCCAGACAACGATCGGCTGGCCCGCCAGGCAAGAAAAGACCTGCTGAGATGCGCGCCAAAGAGCACCGTAGTGCTTTTCTTGCCGCCGATCTGGACAGGAAGCGATCGGTGATCGAAGAACCGGTAAAGAGCCGGGCGAAAAGCCCTGTGCAGCGTCTTCGCAACAGTAGACAGCAGCATGATGGCCCTGTAAGAGGCGCAGGTGAGCTTGCTACCCTTGCCTTTGTACATCCACGTGAGGATGCCAGACTTAAGGCCAATGGGTTCGCGGCAGTGGAGCCCAACTTTAAGGAGAAGGGGAAGGAGAATGCCCTGCCAGAGAGCTGGGCATGCTTTGCCAAACTCAACAGGTACCCCATCGGGTCCGCTGGCCTTCCCGGTTTTGGCTGAAAGGATAGCATTGAGGAGATCGGCCGGGGCAGGAAAATCCTCAAGTGGTATGCTATCGATTGCGATAGCCGGTGGGGCACAAAGGTTAGCTATCTGCTCAGGAGTAGCGGCGTACCCCCCTTCAATGTCACTGAAATGCTGCCGCCAGCGGGCCGTGGTGGCAGCAGGAGATGGACAAAGAACTCCATGCTCATCGAGGAGCTGCGGCAATACCTCAGGCGTAAATGGTTTACGCTTTTTGTGGCCGAGAAGCTTCCGCAGTGCTTCGAAAGACGCGTCCTTGCCCTCCCCAACCTGATCCGCAAGCGCAGAGAGGTATTGTGTCCGGTCGGCCCGGCAACCAAGACGGAGGCTCCTTGCCTTGTCTTGGAGCTCGGCAGCAAGAGCGGACTCGACCTCAACCGCTTGCCGCATCCACCGGGTGGCATGTATGGCTTCTGAGAGAGTGCCGCGGCCATAGCGCCATGTGGAAAAGGCTGCAGCAACAGAATGGAACCGTACAGCAACCCTTAACCGTGCCAGGCGTCTCCTCAGATGCGCCGCCCTTGCATGGAGCGGCCAGGTGTGGTCAGAAAGAAAGGGATGCCGTTGCTTACCTTTGGGGGCCGGAAAGGCAAGTTCGAGTTCGCGCTGCACGTAACCAACAAGCTGGGCAGCATGCGCATCGGCACTCACATGCCAGGGAATTAGTGGCGCATGTCGGAGAATGTTCGCAACCTTATCTCTGCCACCGGGCGTCAACATAGCCTGTGCATCGAACCTTCGCCCCTTATGCCCACGCCTGGACGCACGGAAGGATACGGAAGCACTGACAGAAGTGAGCACAGCCAAGTGGTCGACAACAGGCTGCCCAGCATGTATAGCGGGCTCAACCCATGAGGCGACCTGGGATGTCTGCATGCCTGTGGAAGGCAGACATAGTCCAACCTGCTCTCAGCTCCATTGCGCTTCTGTAGATACGTGCCGCAGGGCCCGACATGCACGTCAGACCACGTTGATGGTATCCAAAGTCGAGAGCGGAGTACAAGGTCATGCAAAAATTCCCCAGCGGAATCTTGTTCCGTGGCCCCCAGCACGCCTACGGCACACGACTCGACGGAGCCAAGGTCGGCATTAAAATCACCAAGCAAGACAAAATCTCCGCGGGCACTGACGCCTGCAAGGAGGCGGTTCGTCTCACGCCACCATGAGTCAAGATGTCCCGCCTCGGAGCCTTTATGGGGCCCGTGCAGGGAGGCAAAGACAAGCCGGGTGTCAACGCTGTGGAAGAGGACAAGAAGACGACGTGGGTCTGCATGCAGTACGATGAAGTGCTGCTTACGGAAGCAGACTTGAGCCTCACCGCCAGCCGAAGCCGTAACAACCCGTGCCCCCTCGCGAAACCACAGTTCGGTACCGAAGTTGCCCTTCAGGGCTCCGGAGCAGTAGCGAATAAAGTTACCCGTAGTAACAGTGCCGGCCTCGGTACGAGCCTCCTGCACAGCTAGAACGTCGACCTTATGGGATTGCAAGCAGTTTGCCAGGAGCGTGGGGCGGCCGGCAACATACGCAAGGCCGGCACCAGGGTGGTCACCAAAGGACTTCCCGCACAGCGAGAGAACATTGTAAGTACCAACCGTCAACCGAAGCGTGCCGCGTTGAGCAGGTTGATCCTCACAATCGTAGTCGGGGCGGAAGGGCCCCAAGAGCTGGGCTGGCCCTAACCCCGCATCGGAATCAGATACCGGCACAGGCCCTCGCCGCAGGGGTGGCAGGGAACTATGCCCAACATGGCAGGTAAGGGCGAGGCCAGCCCAATCAAGCGCAGTGCCGCCATCACACCACCAAGTGTCGCTGCCCTCAAACTCCCAGGCAAGTTGGCCCACGGGGTGGCCCTGGGCTGCTTGACGAGCAGCGAGGTCTGCAATTTCGTTAGCGAGAATCTTGCTATGCCCCGGCGTATGCCGGAAGACGCGGGTGGCTGGACAGAGCATGCGGTTCATCGATCCAATCCGAAACAAGACACCCGCAACTGCCTTACCTGAGCTGAGCATGGTCCCATCCGCGAGACCGAGAGCAGCCAGGCAATCAACACCAAAAACGAGGGGGGTGGTGTCGAGGTAGCACGCAGAGATCCGTAAGGCAGCAATGAGCGCGCAGCACTCGGCGACAAAGGCAGAGGTCTCATCTCCCGCGAGGAGGGCTTGCGGGACAGTCCCGGACACCACCCCAGCCGCAGCACACCTAGGGTGCACAAAGACACACGCCCAACCACAAAGAGCGGGGCTTCCGTGGCTGGGCGGGGTGAAAGAGCCATCAGTGAAGCAGTGCAAAACCTCCCCCTGTAGATCATCAGCAAAGGACCGGGATGCAGCAATCTTGGCCCGGTCCTGGGCGGTAGCAAAGCGCTGGAGCGCGGAAACCGGCGCCAGAAGACAGGGCTGCTGCAGCAGGTCACGAAGAGCAGCAGCGTTGAAACCAAGGTTGAGAGGGCCTATGCTCAAAGGCTCAGGGCACGGCAGCTTGTCCAAGGCACTGGCGAGGCGGTGTGACAAGCATGGGACCTGCCAAAGTGGGATGCTCCACGCCAGAAGGTCGTCGCGGGGCGGGGCAACAAGGTCGCAAAGGGAAAGTGCCCGCGGGCCATCAGACCGACTTCCGTGGCCCTTCACTGCGAAGTGTTCCACCAAAGTGTCAACGAGGGTGGCGGCAAGAAAGAAGGGATACCCGCCAGTACACTGCACACTCTCCTCAAGAAGAGTGACAAGGCGCTCGGGGCAGGGCGACCTGATAGGGCCGTCACCGTGGCCGCTGCCACGGCTGACTCGAGTCACAGGGCCAGCGTTGTGACAGAGGGAGCGGCAGGGTGTGGGTAAGGGTCGTGGGCCATGAGTGGATGCCAGGTCAGGGCGTTTATTTTTAGACACACCCACAACGTCGACCCCTGAGGGGCAGACGGCCCCAACCCCCGGGAGCTCAATAGCAAGAGCAATGGCAGAGATGGCTGCAAAACCTAGAGCACGCCTTCGGGTTCCTAAAGCAGCGAGCGCCAGGATGCCACGGGTCCCCTCACCGGCGCCGCCGGTAACATGGTGGTAGCTGCAAGGCACACAAACGCGGGAGCATAGAAGGAGCAGGCCTGTCATGCTCAGCGCTGCGACAGCCGTAGCAAGGAGACCCCAGAGCAGATGCTGCCTAGTCCGGAGGGGAACATCAACGTAGCCTGTGTTCAGCGGGGCCAGAGCAGCGTCAACGACCTCAGAGCCTGGACCTGTGCCGTGGTGGTCAACTTGGCCATTGGCAGCAGAAGCGTGTGGCAAGTGTCCATCAAGATTGTCATCAGAGGTCCCGTGGTCCTCACCGTGCACATCGGCGGCAGGAACAGTAGGTACAACCCTGCGGACAAGCGTAGCGGCGATGACCTGCCCGGGTTCTAACCAGGTCCAGGTCCAATGTCTAGGGATGCCACGCAGGTTAACCTCCCATCCCTCTGACGCACTTGGCTGAAGGGAGGCCTTAAGGAAGTTGAGGTTTACATGGCCACCGTTGGTGTACAGGGGAAGCCACCCAAGCAACAGCGGTCGGCAGTCAACCAGGCAAGAAATCTCCTCTTCGTCAGAGCGAGGGCCATGATCATGCGTAAGCAAGACGACGTTGCGACACGGGTAGCCATACACGGTTGCATCACGCTGCAGGGGCTGGGCAGGCTGGATATGCAACCCCGCCAGCCCATCCCTGTCGAGCAGCAAGGTCGGCCCGTAGAAACATGGAACGTTCCGGCAAGAGTCGGAAAGGGGAGATGCCTTGGTCAGTGGCGATCAAGTAGTGCTCGGCCGGCACCTCAAGGGGGAGAACTGGGGCGGGCTGCAGCACTGCGGCGACTGGAGCAGCTCGCGCAGCCTGAAGGTGGGGGGGGGCACCCTCCCGATCGGGAGGAAGACAATGCACATCCCAGATTGAACATGGAAGTCGCCGCCCGCAGGCATAGGATCGATCGCTTCAGGGAGGAAAACATCGACCTCAGCGACAGGGTGCAGCCCTGCCAAAGCAAGAAGGCAGAACTTGTCTACAACACTCGGCGTGTCAACAGCAAAGACACGCCCGTCCCAACCCGTCAAATCAAGACAGAGAATCGGCCGATGTTGAAGCCACCCAGGGATAGCAAGAAGTGCACCCCATGAAGGCTGGGGTTGTGGCCACACCTCGAGCAGGGTGGGGAAGTCAACAGCACGCTCCGCATTGCGACAGGTCTGCAGCAGACCGACGAGGTCATGGCAAGGGTCTCAGGAGTATACCCGGGTGCAAAAAGGCAGAATACAGCCTCAACAACCAAGTCGCCTTCAAGAGCCTCCGAGGATACCGAGTGCACATCATCATCCTGCACCGGCATAACGGGGGACCAGGCAGGGTCGAAGGGCCATCGCTGGCCGAGGAGCCGTGTGGCCGTGCGGGCCGCAGCAAAGCGGTGATCAGCACCGGCTGCAGAAGCCACGGGCTCACAGAGGAGTTTCCAGCAAGAATGAGGCCGATAATCAAGTGGGAGAAGATCGGCAGCAGTCTCAACATCAACTGGGAGAAGTGCCGAGAGTACAGGGGTGAGCCACGGCTTGCTATCGGGGAAAGCATGGTGTGTGAAAGCCGGGGGACACTTGATAACTCGATCGGCACAGATGACAGAGGATCCGCAGGTGATCTTTGAAAGGGGCACATAAGGGCTCCTGCGTCGCTGGCAGCCATCCCCTACGATGGCTAGAGGGCAGCGCTCGCGAACACTGATCGAGAACCAGCGTCGGAGAGACAAATCGGTCAGGGGTAAAGGCCCACGTCAAACCACAGTTAAGGGCTCGGAGGTCAAGGAAGCAGACACACCCAGCCGCCGTTTCATCGGGCTCAACGAGATGTGCCTGCGTCACAGCGACAACGGTATGTGCACTACGGCCTGCGTCAGAGTAGTCACACAAGTCAGGGCAGGCGTGCTGGGCAGCAAAGGAACCGGACGGCAGGTGCAGGGCCTCAGACAAGGCCTGTCCGAGGAAGCGCCGACGCCCAACGGCATGGCAGAAACTAGTGGGCCCCTCTTCCCCAATAACATGCACCCAATCGCCTGCAACGACAGGGGGCACGTCAGAGGTACCCCAGCCGTCGGCGGATGCGAGCATAGCCAGCAGGGAAGAGGCTACCAAATTCCGGCCAGGTGCCGGGACAATGACAACACAGCTACCGTGCTGGAGAAAACACTCCTGTCTGGGCTGCAGGGACGTATCAGAATTAGGCACGTAGACATCATATTGTCCTTGCCTGGGCACATCCGCAATGGCAAGGATCGAGGAGCGCGCATTCGAGCCTCGGGAGACCGTCTTGCCTGGACCTGGAGCAGAACCGCTGGAATCGTGGCACCAGGCCGAAGGTCAAAGCGAGCAACAACCGGAGCAAATTCCTGTTCAATCACGAGGAACCCGGCAGAGAAGGTGCCTTCAACTCTAGCAGGCCGCCCTCGAGGAAAGCGGCTCCGGTCTGGGGACACATCTGCAGTATCGACAGCAGGCTCAGCATAGGCGGGACCTGGAACATTGAGGGCTGTAACAGGCCCAGCATCCACAACCATGTCGATATCGGCCGGTGTCTCGCTTTCGCCATCTTCCTCCTCATGGCCCTCAAGTGCAGGGAGCGGAACAAAGGAGGCATAAACCGGTCGACCAGCAAGGACGGAAGCGGTGCCATCCGCCTCTAAGAGTCCTTCCAGATGGACACACCAACCAGGAGGCGCGAATGTTGACAGGACATTCACAAGGTCCTCTTTGTCTATGCGGCCGTCTTCTGAGGTGAGCAAGAGCCACCCCTGCAAAAGTGCTCGGCAATCGACAACCGTAGCGAGCAGATCAGGCGCGGGTTGCAGAGTGACGGGATCGCGAGCAGTCGCGATAGCACAGACATTGCGACAGTACACCCCTTTCATAGCAACGTCACCGATCACAGGCACCGCTGGCTGGATGACTAGCTCATCAACCTGAATGGCAAAGGCATTAGCAACGGCGCGTCGGTCTGCAAAGAACGCAGTGGGGTCGACAGGGAATCGGCGGTGTCCCTGCTCGCTCACAGCACAAAAGCCTCCGCCCGCTGGGCCAATGGGCAACTGCGGCTCGTCGTCCCAAGTGGCGGAGCTCTGAAGGGTCTCCCGGAGGGAATAGAATGGCCCAGGCAGGGCAAAGCGACGGACAACCGAAATGCAGACACCTGGGCGTAGCGGCACCTCTCTGTCGACCAATGGAACATCGCCTGTGCCAACATAGATATCCGCGGCAGCCTCCTGATCCAACTCACACATGCGCAGAATGACCTCGCGCGAGGCAACCGCTGGGGCATCAGCCGCAAACAATCGCCCATCGAACGCAGAGAGGTCGCAACACACAACGATCTCATCTGTGGCCCAACCCGGCATCGAGAGCAAGAGGCCCGAGGCCTGCGACGGCTGGGGATCAACAACGATAAGATATGGATAGAGCCGAGTGCTGACAGGGTCACGGACTTGGGGAATGAGCGCAAGCGCTTCTTGCACGGCGACTGGCGCATCTAGCACAATCTCAGGCACGTACTCGATACGCAACACAAAGAAGGTGAACTCGGCCTCACCCTCCTGAAGTGAATCAACGTCAGACTCCCAACCTTCCTCAGGATCATGGTCACCGGCAAACTCATCATCGGCTGGTAGGTAACCCCACTGTCGACCAGCCTGTCGCACAAAATCACGGGCTTGGTCGATACGCTCACGCTGGGCGACGGTGTGGGAGGTTGGCTCCCTGAGGAGCTTGCAGGTGGCAAGGGGCGGGGAGAAGCCGGTAATAGAATGAGAATGGAGAAGGCCCCCGGTGTCCTCGGGATCAAGACCTAAAGGGCCTGTGCACCTGACCTTTGGTTGCTCTCCGACAGCGGTACTAGCAAGGCGCCCGTACCAGACCTGGTCATGACTTAGACCTCTCCGGGAACGTGACCTCCCTCTCCATGGCCTGCTCTGATTTGGCCTGGATTCAGCTCCCGGCGTGAGCGAGAAGGGGAAGGTGTTACGCGGGCCCCTATCATGATCAGAGGGATACCCGTCGTTAGGGTCATCAGGGCTATCAGGTGGGTGACCCGCAGGGGTAGGGGAAGCAGGCCTAGCGGGGACGGCCCTAATGATAAGGACATCATGTCCGTAAAGCCTGACCTCATCACCCAAAGGCTCCCAGCCTACAGCAGCGAGCTGTAGGTTGGGCGGGAGGTGCACCCCTGCAACGGCTGCAACGGATGGCAAGTGCAGCCATGGCACATTGCTGTAAGCGATGCGTATACCATATCCCAGACCTCGGAAGTCGCAGAGTGCAAAGAAGTCGCGTCTCCGCCAAGCGAGCGGTGCATCAAGCTGCGCACTAGGGAGATTGACTACACAAGCAGCCTGCATACACGGGTTACCACGGTACTCGAGGTCGGGGGTGAGGAAGACGCAGACAGTGCATTCGATAATCCCACATCGTGGATATTGCAGAGAGAGGCGATTGCCCATAATGATGGTGCCGCGGCATAAAGACACGCTCAGGACCATGGTGAACAAGCACACCAGTAGCAGGAGAAAGTTTCGGCATCTCAAGCGGCGGCTGCCATGATTCAGCATCCTGGAATAATTCTTCAGCGGTCTGGTGCCATAGCCATTCCTGGGGTGGACGACGAAACGTCAAGACGTCTCCATCACAGAGCCTCAGGGGCACGTCCGCCTCATGGGCAACAGGGCTGTTACCGACATGCAGAACGATATCGACATCGGAGTAGGACGCCTGCTGCGTTGCAAAGTGCATAAGCTCATCAAAGGCGATGTCCTCTGGCAGCAAACAGGCGTAATAGTGTCCGCCGACCATAGTAAGGTCAACCATAACAGCTCGCATCACACCATCAGGTGACATGGAAGCTATAGAGGGAAACCTGACTAAAGTGCACCAGCCATGAAACTGCAGAGGGCGGGCCGGCACGCACCGATCAAACAGGCGGGACTCGGCACCAGGGGCCGATTGAAGAACAACGTCCGTGACATAGTCAAGCCCCTGCCCCGGTGGGCATAGGACGGCCAGACGGACCGGCCGATAGTGCGGCGTAAACACAGCAACTCCCAGCCACCTAGCATCCTGACCACCGACAGGCTCCGGGAGGTCAGTCACACAATCAAGTGGGATAACTCGAGATTGGCCTTGGTCGAAGAGCGTAGGCGCAAGTGGCCCAGCGCGCAGTAAGGGCTGTCCAATATGATGCGCAAGCTCCTCAAGATCAATATCGTGAGGCCGCCTGGCAGGGTTGACAGCTCCAGCACCTGGAAAGAAGGCGGGGGCGAAAGCCAAGCTGGCAGGTACAAAGGGGATTGAGGCAAACCCAGAGCCGAGGCCGAGGCGACCCCCACAGTCAAAGCCGGGCGCAAAGGCAAGGGTGCCACCGCACAAGCACCTAGTGACAAACCACGCCAGGGTATGGTCCCAGCAACAAGGCTGGCCTTCATCCCTCTTAGAGCACCCCCTAAGCCTACGGAACCGGCCGCCCTTGCCTGCACGTAGTCCGCCGTGACGCAAGCCATAGCATTGACTCAAATGCCCTGGTCCACAAGGTGCAACATCGAAGCAAACCAGACACGAGGCAAGGATGGTGCCGGGACAGGACCAGCCACGCGACCGGAGAGCAGGCCGGAACGGTTGTAGGAGGCCGGCAACAAGGCATGCTGAGGCCAACAGGCCGCCATAGCAGACAATGGAGGCAGCCTGCTGCTCAACCCACACGAGCAAGTCAGCACTGCCCCACCATACACCGGCCCAGAAGCAAGCGAGTGTCACAGAAACGCCAACGGGCAGAAGAAGGTGGGCATCACCACAGACGCCACCAAATGGGAAAGCACAAAGGCAAGGCTTTCCGTGCTTTTCAGGATCGACCCCACGCGGCTGGAGCCAAGCACCCTTCGGGAAGAGAGCCTGAACACAACCGATGCAGCAGCCAAGGGCCAAACAGCTGAGGCTGAGGGCGCCACATGCCAGAACAAGGAGGGACCATAGAGTGGGTGGAAGCCCCAGAGCCACCGATGCTTCTCTTCGGCACGCCACTACAACAGGTGCAACCTCCGAACCACCTGCAACAGAAGAAAATATCTGTGTGGCATCACAAGGAGGCACGCAAGAAACGCCTTGCAAGATGTAGAAAGGCGGTGGCATGACAGGTGATACCCCGGGAGGGCAAGGCGATGAGAGAGGAAAGCCTGCACATCCAACGTTGGCAAAATTGGTGGAACTCGAAGCGCACTTGCTAGCCCAACAAGCCGCGACGGGACCACAAAAAGAAGGATCCGAGTCGGGATGCCCCCCACATTCCATGAGTGGGACTATCTCGAATCCGATCAAAGAACGAGCTGCCGAGGAAGGCATGGAGGAAGCCTTGGACGGGGCGCTCTCACAGGAGATTCGAATTGAGTCGGAACTCTCACCGTATGTAACAGCGCACCCCGTAGGTACCTCTGTACATCCTACGTGAAACCGGATGTGTCGACAGCAATCTTTGTCAGAGAACCCAGGAAGAACGCCTTGCCCACAGGGATCTAGTACGTCAGGTGTCCCCAATGACACCTGGCGACATCGTCCCTCTAGACGGCTGGTCTCCCCGATTCGCTGACATGATTCGCCTGATACATCCCTACACAAGCCCTCACTCGGCAGCCTTGTGCTCACACGACGTTCCCCGACGCATCCCTCTTGGCTTGCAGCCTGGCCAGCTCCTCCGCGGTAAGGCCACCATCCAAATCCGGGTCGTCCTCGTCGTCGTCCAAAAAGGGCGTGGGAACCGGTTCGGTAGGCCTCATATGCTCCGTGGTCGTCGAAGGCAGACCAAAGGGATTGAGAGCTCTGCGAGCACGAAGCTGCTCCTCCAAGCTGACGTCGGGTGCTGGTGTCGGAACAGGTGCCGAAGGCCCCGGAATCCCATCCGTCCTGGCACCGTGACCCACATGGTTGGGAGGGTAGGGAGATGTTCTCTCTGCCCCCCGTTGCCCAGACATCGCCCCATATGGGGGGCCCAATCCAGGCGGTGCCGGCGACGTAGCAGGGTAGGGATCTGTGCCAGCACGAACCTCGGGCGCAGGATAAGGGGGTGCCACCTGACCCAGCTGCGGGGTACGAGGGACACCATGCGCTGGCCTCGAAGGCGTCCAAGAGCTCTGGAAAGCAGAGCCTGGTAGTCCTGCCCCGGAGGCTTCTCCGCCATCCACTGATCGAACATCGCCTCCACCTCTGCATCTCCATCCTCCATCGGGGTGGGCACCGCTGTACTGTCCTGCTGTCCAGTGTAGAAATTGCGCACGCATGCCCTGGCAGCTTCGCGGTGCAGCTCCGCATCCTGATGCTCGCGGGCCAACTTGGCCATCCTGGCCTGAAAACGGCTCTTCTCGCGCATGAGGGCATCCTTCATCTTCTTCTGGTACTCCTGCCACAAAAGCGAGGTGCGCTCCTGCGTCTTGAGGCACCTGTCCACTCTGCCCTCTGCTTTGCTGAAGGCTGTGAGGGCCTCCTGCAAGCCATGGAATACGCCAGGGGCACGCACCGAAGTGTCCTCGGCCTCTTTCTTCGGTCCCTTGGCACTCGAGCTCGACGGCATAGCATCGAAAGCTGGAAAGGTCGGGAGCGACGGCTGCTTCCACCCATCCTGGCCCTCCCAGTGTGGGCGCGCTCGGTTCTTTGGCGACACATAAGCCGAGCCACGCCAAAGCGAGTACGACTTGTCGTCCCATGATCGAGATCCGCGTCCCATAAGTCCCAGTCTGGCCTGAAAGAACCTAGACGCACTAAGTGCTGGGGGCACACGACCAGCTCCGCTGTGGAGCGCTTCGAGCCCCTACTACTACTACTACTACTACTACTACTACTACTACTACTACTACTACTACTACTATTACTACTACTACTACTACTACTACTACTACTACTACTACTACTACTACTACTACTACTACTACTACTACTACTACTAGTACTAGTACTAGTACTAGTACTAGTACTAGTACTACTACTGTTACTACTGATACTACTACTTCTACTACTGGTACTGGCACTACCACCACCATTATCACCACAACCATCATCATGACAATGACGTCGTCCCATCATTGCCGCGATTAATCCCAACTCGTTGAAGTCACAAAGCTACTGGCCAGCAACCACAATGGCATCAGCAAGGATGCAACCATTGCCATGGTATTCGCCATGCTGAGGGAAGAGTATCACGATATCCCTGATCATCAATCGTCGTTTGCTCGTCAGCATCTTGATTCGGCCTGCATTTGGTCGATGTTGCGATGGGGTTGTTGACATCGTCATTGCTGCCCTTGCGCAGATCGCTGTGTTTCGACGACGAGGAGAAGCGATTCCCGATATGCCTGTTCCTCGAATTTCCCGAGACCAAGGTAGATTGGTATAATATTATAATTTTTGGTATGGCCTTAGGAGCCAGACGGCTCAGGTTTGGGAATGGGCAGGGCCTTCTTAGCTTGCCACGGTTTGGCTGCTTCAGCAGTTCGTCAGACAAGTTGCTTGACGTCGAAGACTGGAGATTGACTATTCGGGAGTTTGGGACTCTGGATCGCTTGAGGGCTGCGGGCATACCTGCGGAACACTTGAGGGCCTCGGGCAGATTCTACACAGCAAGCTTGCACCAAAGCTCCGGCATGCATCCTAAACCGCAAGCTCTGAACCCTGATGCCTCAGAGCTCGTATCCACGTTACAACCCTCCACAAACGTGATGTAAATCTTGGACGCTGGTTTAATCTTCAACCAAACTCAACAACAACTCCAGAAGCCTTCGGCCTGGCCCAGTGCTGGAAGTGCTCAGACTCCGCTGGCGAGATGCATACCTGGTGAGTGGATCAAAGCTCGAGCCTCCAAGACCCATCGAGCTTCTAAGCTTCTGCACACACACACACACACATTTAGCACAAAGCAGAAGCAACTTCTACGCCCTAAGACCTGAAACCCCCACATTGCTACCCAAGAACCTCCCAAAACTCTTGGCAAAAGGGCCTTTTGGGGGCCGCCTTCCATGGCCATCGCCGGAGGGTCGAAGCAAAGCCGCTGAGGCTCGGTGTTGGAGGGTCTCTGACATGGAGTTAAGGTCTCTTTGAATACAGATGGGAGCCACAGAGTTGTCTGCCGCGGTCTTCTTTTTCGGGCTTGGCTTGGGCTTCCAGCTCAGAAATTGCTGAGTTTCTCGCCGGTACGGCCTGGCCCCATGAACCCACGAAGGGCCCAGCAAGCCCAGCCTTGCGCTTGACCGCGCAGGCTGCTGAGCGATGAGCTGCAAGTGCGGTGGGTCCGGCTTCTGTGTGGTGTCATGTCCTTCAGCTGAGGATTTCGGGCGCAACCTAGCGCTCTGTAGAAGACACGAGTCCTTAGGGCAGATCTTTCTGGGAAGATTTCCTCCAAGTTTAACCCAATGCACACAATGAGATCGAAGGATGGGACAGCAGCCCCACTACGAGATCTTCCCCGAAAGATCTGCTCCCACGGCCAGGGCTTGTGTCAACCAACGACATGCTGCTTGCCGGAAGTTTACCCTAGCTTCGAAAGCTTCCATGCCTCGAACACCCTTGAAATACCCACAGAGGCACATGCCCTGCAACCCATAACGGACACTAAACCGTAGAACAGCCGAGGCTGTCCGTGATGCTGCGGCTGGAATCGCGAGGCGAGTCCTGCCAAGCCATAGCTTCGAAAAGAGGTTACGGTAACCTGACGCCTGTCTTTGCATCATGCAGGAGCAGGACCCACTCGACTTTTACGCCGACTGGAATGCCTAAACTGTCAGCCTTATATCCCTCTCAGCCGTTGGCATGAACGCAATGTTGCATGATTGCATGTTGATGGGCCTCCCAAGGAATTAAAGGCCTTAATTCTGATCTCTGTTCGGTGAGTCTTCAGTTTCTGACACTCTCGAGGTCTCCGTATTGGCAGATCCTCAGGTATTGCATAGGGGCAGGTTTCTGCCCAAATCTCTGCGATGCTGTATCCTTTGTAATCTTTCGGGATCGGGCAGGCTGTGATCTGCTTCCACCCCCCTCCCGAGAACTGTGGACTTTCTTTTTCCAGAGTTCTCGAGGGTGGGGGGAGAGAGAGAAACACATCTGGATCTGAGGATTCTGCAATTCTGCACTCCACCGGCCGACGATCCGACCCAATACCGAGCGCAGAGGCGCTGACCTGAAGCTGAACCCACGGCGTAAACCTATAAGCTTCCAGGCTCTGGTCAGCGCGGCCCGACAGACATTTTTGACGCACATCGCTCAAAAAGAGAACCCGGAATCAAGCTTTGTCTAGAAACCCCAAAGGGAGGCTTTGCCCCGCCGGCAGATCGGGTCGGGGCCCCCGTCCTCTAAAAAGGCGACCGGCAGAGCCGTGGAGCCGAGCGCGGAGCCGGTGGAGCGCCTGCAGCAGGAGCCGTGAGCCGAGCCGAGGCCGGAGCCGGAGTGTTTTGGGTTTCGGCTTTTTTCGTCCCCTTTTTTTGGGTCCATCTTCTGAAGATTGCACGCGCACACGCGCTGCAGCGTGCTGTGCATTGTGCACTCGGGGGACTGGCCACCAACAGGCCCCTGGCACAGTGTTCACCACATTGGAAGCGACTCAAGCTATCCATTGTTTCCGTGCCGGAACAGGCGGAGCTTGAGCTTGAAAGAAGAGGGCAGGGATCAGGGAAATGTTGGATATTGCTACTCAAGAGAAACATATCGCCGTTGTACGCCGGAGACTTCTCAAATCTCGATCCGCTGATCTCCATTACCCATGTCCCTGCTTCCACCCTAAACCCCAAATCCCAAACTTCTAACCTCTCCCTCTTATTCCAACTTCCGCTTTTCTCACATCCCGTGTATCGCACACGAAGGCTCGCATCGCAATGCGAATGCCTGGTATATCGCCACGTGGAGCAGCAGCATCAAGCTGGCCAGGCTGAGGAGTTTTGTTGTTGAGAAGGGGTCGTCTGTCGTCGTCAACACACTACTCAAGGAAGGAGTGCAAAAAGCATCGCTTTCGGCTACTGATCTACGGGTACCGGTTTCGTGCCAATTAGGCACTCGTCAGACATACTACTGCGGTAAGCAGCTGTCAGTGTTGGCCTGGACATTGTGCTGCTGTATTTTATGTGCACATAATCCTCAGAGCCTTCCTTGGCCCGCGCAGCCGCCGCCGCGGAGACGCAGCCCTAAACGCGTCTCTCTTTCCGGCTCCGTGCAGGAGGGACGCCGCGGCCGCCGCGCCGCGACGGGCTCTGGTGCCTCCGGCAGAGAAAGCAGGGGCTGCGCCTTGGACTTGTTGCTTGGCGGTCTTCGGTCTTGGAAGCGTGGCTTCCGGCTCGCTGTGGATATGCTCTCTCTGTGGATGGGCATCGGCATCGTGTGTTCCGTGCTGGTCTTCGCAAGACTATGCAGAGTCACCATTTCTTTTGGATCTGTTGCTTCCCCGATGTCGCAGCCTGATCTCATGCGAGTCGAACCACCTCGATGAAACAGATATCAACCTCATGTGCCAGCCATTGTTCTTCATGTTGTCAGGCTTCCCTATCAATCCTTCTTTGTGAACCTGAACATGTCAGACAAATGTAAATCAGAAAGTCTAACAGAGTTCTGGATTGTTGTTAGCTTTGCAACTTTTTGTTTGGGGTTGGTCGGTTGGTCCAGACTCGTGGCCGACCGCGTAGCTCACTCAGGCCCCTGCTGCACAAGGAGCACACACACACACACACACACGTGCGTGTGCACAGATCGAGACGTGTAATCATTGAAATACCCCGACGCACAAGCCGAGAAGTGTATCATCGCGGCAACAAAGACCTGAATCCGGACCCCACCCTACGATGAAGAACCGACACTCTAAATTCTTCAACCTCGACCCACCGTAAAATGCCGGCCGCCTCAAAGTCCAAAGCCCCAAGCCCTACTCGAAACGAACGCAAGCGCCAACGGTGGCTACATCGATGGGAGCCAAGCGGGGGGAAGGGTTTGGGTGGCGCCGCTAGGTAGGATAGGGCATTGCAATCTGCATTCTTTGGGAAAGACCGTGGCCGTGAACCATTGCGTAATGCTGGAGCACTGCACGTAGCCCTACGCCCGAAGGCCCTTAACTCGTAAAGGTTTGAGCATGTTGCCATCCGCTTTCTGCCATAGCGGTTTGCAGCCCAGGCATTTGCCGGCCGGCTTTGCAGCGCAGCATCTGGTGCCTCTTTCAATGGTTGTCACTGCCCTGAAGCTGAAGTTAAACGGCACGAGTATAAAGAAGAAAAGCATAGTACTCTCCACCTACAAGGCAGGAGAACCCTCAACCAGTTTGCAATGTCTTGGAAACTTGCCAAGTTGAATAAAGGCAAAGCGGATAAGCCTCATCACATCCTTGATTCTCACAGCTGTCGGCAAAGCTTAACCTCAGCCGTACGAGTTGGACTGCACCACATCGAGCATCTGGGCATCTGCACTCCGTGACGTGATGATTCCCCTGATGCAGTAGGCAGGTGCGGTAATGCCCAGCGTGAGGCCTGGGGCCCTCATGAAAGGCTGTAGCACTGTTTTCAAAGCTGACTAGCCTGACATGCAGCACATTTGCATCCACCCAGATGAGCACCTGGATTGCTGCTTCAACGAAGCAGCGGTCCAGTGTTTTTGTTGCATCGCCCTGTACTCTAATCAAGCGTAGTGTTGCAATTTCAATCAGATATCGATGAGGGACACGTCTGAGGCGCGCGCACACGGATGAGTTTGTCCCCTGCTGACCCGCTCAACACAATCCTGGAGCCTTACAGCATGATTTTCTTCAACTGGCTCACGGATGTTGAGGGATTCCGATGTATGCAACGGTCCTTCATCCGTTGCTCTAAGAGCTGGCTCTCGGAACTAACGAGCTTGTTATTTCCTTGAAGTGCCTGCGACCGACGGATACGAAATTCTGAAAGAACGAGACGATGTCATGTCGCCTGTTTGGGTGAGCCCATGCCCGCATGATCACCCGAATGGGCGGGAGGGCACGGAAACGGGACGAACTGCACGTATCAGGGACCACCCGCTGTTCCCAAAACTGCTCAGCAGACCATCAGGCCTTCCCACCTGGAACCAGCATGCAGCAGGATGAGGACAGTGGCACTTACATAACAGGCATTGCGACCGCTAGGATTTCGTAGTTCAAGGCCGAGCGCCACGTCAGGTGGTGGACTTCCTCCGCCTCGCGGCTGTGCCTCTGCCTCCGCTTGTGCGTGTTGGGCCCCGATGAGCTGCAGGACCGCCAGTCCCGCCAGCCGAACCCTTAACTCTTAACCCTGAACCCTAACCGCCCCAAATCTGATCTGCCAGGACGCCGTGAAGCCCAGACCCTGAGCCCTAAACCCTAAACCCTAAAAGCCAGGCGTTTGGCTTGCAGGCCCGGTGTAGTTTCCCTTCGAGGTCCACCGCTGGCTTGCTGCTGAAACCCAAGTGCGGATACCGGTTATCCCACGCCTTCCTCCTGACTGTACGCGCGCGCGAGGTCTTGAGGTATACGCCCCACTACGGTGGCTGGCTGGAGGACGCCTCTTCATCGACTTTGTCGTTGAAGAGACTCCCTCCAATTTTTGGGCTGCTTTCTCAGTGCATGAGGAGCAGCATTCTTTTCGTCGTTCTGGGTTTACTGACGATTGGAACTGACGAGGACGGCCTTCTCACGAGAGAAGGCCTGGCACAGACAGTGCCGACGAGCCCGAACCAAGGCTCGCACGAGGCTACGAAACTACGTGGACGGCCTGGTGGTGTGGAATCGACTGACTCAGCTCGCCGTGAGACGGCTGGAGGGACATCATTCGAGATCTGCGCTGCCGAGACAGGCCATCGAGAAGCGGAGGCGCGAATTATTGCGCCCCTTTCAAGCAGTCATGACGGACCACCACAAGGCCAACAAAGGGCAATCTTGGTGGTGCACAGATTGTCGGAAATATGTTCGATACACAGCGGCCTTCTGTCCGGACTGTGGCCGTGCCTGGCAGGATGTCGCGTACTCTGTCCAGGCCTCCGACACACCCTGGCAAGGACCAGCAGGCGGCCGCTGGCATGGTGCTTGGCAGGATCGCGGAGCCTCTCCCAGGCCACGGCGACCCAAGTCGCCCAGCAATCGGCCCCCGAAGGGGGAGCCGGCATCGAAGGGAAAAGGCAAAGGCGGCAAGGATCCCGGAAAAGGCAAGTCGGCCAGTACGGCGGCGACCGGCGCCCAGGACTTGCTGGCTGCCTTGCCGCGTGCGCCGGCTGCTACTCAGGTCAACATGCCGGCCTCGATCCCTGGAGCGGAAGCCTCGGATCGCACGCCGGCCCTTGCCGACTTGATGCAGGCCCTTACGGCGGTCAAGGAAGACTTGCCACATACGGTCAAGGCGGCCTTACAGAGCCACTTGGAGGAGGACGCCAAGGTCACTTCAAAAGGGTTACACAAACTCGTGACCCAACAAGGTCAGGCACGCAAGGAGCTGCTGGCGATCCGTGGAGCCAGGGAGCAGTTTCTACAGGAGTGGGCCAAGTACTTTGGCTCTTTGTCGGAACTGCTCGAACGACAGCTTCAGGCGAAGGCAGAGAACTTTCAGAAGCTGGACGAATCGGAGGATCGATGGATGCAGCAGCTACAGACCACGTCCCGTGCCATTGCGCAGAGCTCGCAATGGCAGGACGTAACCATCGATGTGGACGACGAGATGGAGGACGAGCTGGCGGAGGATGCCGCCAGGGATGCAGCCAAAAGTGTGGCTGCCTCCAGAGCCCTGGAAGTGGAGACCTCCTTGACGGCAGCGCTACAGAAGGCCAAGGAGGCTGCAGATCAGGAGGCGGGTGCGGGACGCGAGCGAACGCCGCGTCGCGCACAATCAGGCCGCGGGGAAGCTCCTGGTGGTCACAACAAGCCGGAGACCAAGAGCGAGATACCCCCTGGCAAGGCCCAGTGACGAGCCCCGCGGGGTTCACGGGGCCGCACATGCTCGACAGAGCAAATGGAATTTTGGGGGAGGCTGATTACGTCTCCCCACTGCGAGCTGCCTTGCTGGGACTCAGCCTTGCAGCAGAAGTACGAATGGCGGATGTGGGCTACGCTCTTGCCGATGGGGTTTTCGGCGGACTTGACCCACGCTGCGAATGGGAAAAACTTGGGGATGCATGGGAAAATGCTACCCCCAATTACGACACGGACTACGAGCACTACGAGCACCACGAGCACGCCAACGGTGCAGTAGCGGACCTTGTCTTGTGGAGCAGACTTGGTCCTCAACATGGAGCGAGTGGAGGGAACATCCAACGTGTGCCAGCAGCCCTGCCTCTCAAGGTGTCCTTCGACGGGAAGCACACCTGCTACAATGGCTGGTGTCGCGCATACAACCAGCTACTTGCCGACAGCACCATGTTCCTTCAATCCAGGACGGTGCTCTGGCCGCAACACAATGTGACAGACACTACGAAACCGAGCTTCAAACGCAGATGCGACCCGACACTGGACACATTGGTTGCTACAAACCTTGGCTGTGACCCGTTGTATGGCGCAAGGTTTTGCGATGGTGTTCAACAAGAGTATTCTCCCTGCTTCCGGGAGACCAGGCCCCTCATGGCTGCCACGGGGAATGGTCCTGATGTGCAGGGAGGTGCTGACTTGAACACTTTGCGAACCTTTCGAGCCAGCATCTGAGGCCGGCCACAGTGAGCGCGACTGTAACATATGTACATAGTGTACAGAAAGCGAAAGCAAGTAGATCCACCGACCTTTCCAGGCTGCCCATGGAGTACAAGGACGGTTCCTTGTCGAGCCTTGCTCCTTCCTGCCACCTGCACCTTTCTGCCCCTCCGGGTGTTCACCACGGAGGTTCTCATCAATTCCCCCGGGCAGACATCTGCCCTCTGCAGTATGTGCGGCCCGTTGCCGGCACTACAAGCCCTATAGCAAGCCCTTCAGTGCCACAGAAGCCCCGGACTTTCTCGTTGCTTAGTCTTCAGCTTGCAGCACATGTGGCAGTGTTTCCTCCCGAAATGGATCGTTGGGAGCTTTGCGCCAAACCGCTCACCGAATTCGGCTGGAGCGGCCTTGCGGCCACTTCTGGGGCGACGGAGCAGGCCCCCACCGCGCGACATTATGTGCTTTTCGACTCCGACCAGCACATGCGATTGAGGCCTCTTGGCCCCACGTGGACTGTCGACATAGTGGCGGATATACTGGGGCTGCTGCCCCGCACGAGGGCTATTAGGTTTCTAGGTCATAAGCTTGCCGGACTCCCTCCCTTGCAGGTGGCGGCCACGCAACGTGATGCCGACGTCACAGCTGAAGCAATTCCTCTAGATTTGCGCGGCCTGACTGGTTCAATCTGCACAGGCTATCTGCGGTCAGGTTTGCTCTTTGCTGATGTCGTTGCTGCATACTCGGAACACTGTCCTGCATACATGTGTCCGGCCGGCCTTTTCGACGTTGTCGATCCGAACGGAGCGCAATTTGCCCAGTGCCCCAGGACTTGGCGGACCTGGACTTTGTCAGGGCAGTTGCACTGGATGCAGAAGGTTTAGGCACAGGCGTCTTGCATGCGACAAATTTGCACCTTCCCCGACACACTACACGCACTACCACTGAGATGCAAGCCAACAATCCACCTATGCTCCTGGGAGGTGAAACAGACCTTCAGCCCACTGTCGCACTCCCACCGACCCTGCACGGAGTGCTTCTGTCGCCTTGCAGCTTGCACCAGGCGTCTTGTACCAAGATTCCGGCAGCACAGCTTCGACTTTTCGCGCAGCTTGACCCCCATATAATGCTAAGCCGGTGCCTTTCACTGTGATGATTGCTGGACAACCACCGTTTCGGTGCATGGGGGCCGCACAATGGCCACTGATCAATTTCGGACGCGATGCCGCTGAACAGTGCGATGACACTCCCCGCAGCGTGCAGGTTCTCACCACCAGTCTGGGTGGCCTTGATGAGCCACAAGTCGTGGTAACGGGTGTAGACACCCCTGCCGGCACCACTGTGGTGCCCATTGACTTAAGGCCAGTTGGGGCGGGAATCTACCCGGTACCGTTAGCACCGGGCATGACCAGCAGTGATATTGTCACTGCGACCCTTAGCGCCTTCCCCGATGCCGTTGAAGCTCTGACGACAGCTTTTAGTGCGCAAGCGGCCTTCATACAGGACGCGCAAGGCGCAAGTCTACGAGACCCTGCCACAACACTTGTTTACGTTGCAATGGCTTGTTGCGCGCAGACCTCAGTCATTCTTGCCTGGCGGGCCTCCTGTGGTCACCACCACCACTACTACAGCCATGCAGAGCGCTGGCGTCACTGTGCAGTATATGCTTGTTGGCGATACCACTACCGCACGGCTTGCCCCGGTCGCAATTGCGGAGGCGGACCCACAACTGGCCGTCCTTGAACTCATCTGTGCCTTTGCCCGTCAAGGTCGCCTCAATCACCACTTTACTTTACAGCTTGCGCCTGTCCTGCATTGGAGCACCAGACAACGTGCTTACATTGTCCCTATTTTGGTTGCCCCGCTTGCTCAGGCGCAGGTGCTGATACTCTACGATCCTGGGGTGGATGGCACGCAACTGCACACGATGACCGTGCCTGCTGGCACGCGGCCTTCCGATGTTCTATCAGGGGCACAAAGGGCCGGGGGTGCTCAAATTTTCGCGAACGGGGTACATGAAAGTGCGTGCAACCGGCCTCTCATCACCGGGGACTTCTTGCAACAATTTGGGCCTGGGATTTACCACGGCACGGCAATACATGCCGGGCCCGTCCTCGATGATGTTAACCGCCTCCGGTGTTTGTCCATGCCTATGCAATTCCCACCGGTCTGTCTCTATCAGGGACCAAGGGGACCGGTCGTGGCACCCATGCGCGGAGCATGCTCACTGCAAGAGGTCCTAAATGACGTTTTTGAGGAGCGCCTAGATCGTATGGGGCGGCCCGCGCGCACGAGCAAGAGAGTGACGGTCCTGCAGCCGGGCCGAGCGCCCCACCTGATGTGGGTACCCACCCCGCTTACTCCAGATGTTTTTGAGGCATGTGAGTTGCTTGAGGGCACGGGTCTGTTCTCTTCCGACATGATGTTGGTCGATACCTCCACACATGTGGAGCTGGGAGACACTGAGGTCTTCCTTGCACTTCCTGCGCAAGCAGAATATGTGACACTCACCCTGCCTGATCCCTTTGCAGTGCTCCACTTGCTTCTGGTGCATGTCTCCCCTCGAGGCACGATACCATACCGTTACCTCCCCCGACGGCCTGGTATGCAGTTCCTACCTGTCTCTCGACTCGCCGATGGCATGCACATCCAAGTTATGCGGGAAAGTGCGGCACCCAGGCGACCTTCCAGCTCCTCCGATGCTAGACCTGCACCGGGTCCTGGCACAGGTGGAACATCCCTTGTGCAGCTTCCAGATACGCAACTCAAGCAACTACGACGTTGCCAAAAGTTTGCTCAGCTGCCGGCACAAGATACAGTCGGGTGTCACTGCGACCTCGGTGTTATCACATGTGGTGCCGCTGTGCCTGACCCTGCTCAGAGAAGAGCCGTCTTGGTTTCCACGCTCGGTGGGCGCCGCCGCACCCCCCACAGCGACACCAAGCCGGGTCGGCTTGCGAGTGAGGCTGAGGGCTGCAACTCCCTGTGCCAACAGGGCCCCTCAGCTTCTGTCTCTGGGTGCTCCGCTGCCTCCCAAAACTCGCGTACTTTGCACCTACAGCAGCTGGTACCGCCGGCTGCTTCTGGGGTTGGCCTTGGTACGAGCCGAGAGGTCGCTGCTGCATCCCTGGCTGACTTCTGTCGTCCTCTTCCTGACCTTCTACCCTTTGTAAATGGAGCCTTGCCCATTGCTACCCACACCTGGGCTCTTTTGCCGCCTCCAAGCCCGGACCGGCCAATTGAAGCAATCTTGCTGTACACGGACGGGTCCATCTCCCCGTGCACACGGCGTGCCAGTTGGGCCATGATTGTGGTAGGGCGCCGAGGCCCTGACCTGTGCAAACTCGGCTCCTTGGCCGGGCCAGTTCCTGCAGAACACTTCCCTGCCAGTGCGTATCGTGGCGAGCTGTGGGCCTTGCTTCACGCGGCTGCATTTGTAGCGGCTAACCGCTTTCCTGCGGCAACTGCCCTTTCAGATTGCCAAGCTGCCATAGATGTTGCTTTTGGTTCTGCACAGCACGCTGAGGATGACCAAGTTGCAGCAGCTCTCCAAGGCCTTATCCTCTACATTCGCGCCCAGGGCAGATTTTTGCGGCCTTCCAAAATCGATGCCCAAACCGGGGTACCACTGAACGAGGCGGCAGATGCCATTGCAAAGACAGCCAATCTGCCCGAACCTCCAGACGACTTCTGCTTTCAGTCTGAAACCGTGCAGGCTGCCATCCTCGATGGCACTCTGCAGCGTATCTGGCTGAGCTGCGACTATCTCAGCATTGCAGCACAGCTGCCGGCCATCAGTGAGACCGGCTGCTGGACTCGAGCTAGTTGTAACTTTGCGCCACCAACGCAGGCGAATGCGGCCTGCACTATTGGTGCGGCCACCTCAGAACAGGTTTCTTGGCGGCTCGACGTGACGGCAGTTACGTGTAACTGCCTATCTGCACGCAGCCGCCCTGCGAAAGCACTCCTCGATCAGGGCCTCCACGGGCAGCGCTGTGCTGTCGCAGGTTTTCAGGAAGCCCGATGCACTGAGGATGGCATCATTGCTACCGAACACTACTGGGTTGCCAGCTCGGCCTGCGATGCGCAGGGAGGAGGCGGATGCCAGATCTGGGTCTCTAAGACCGCCACCTGGGGATGTGACGCCGCCGAAAAGCTCAGATTTGTCCGGGAAAGCTTTAGTATTTTACACGCCGCCCCCCGCTTGCTCATTCTGCTGATACGGGTCAATTCGCTACGATTTGCTTGCATATCTACACACGCGCACACAGCCAATGCAGGCGCGGACAAGATAGCTGCGTGGTGGGCCAATCTTCGAGCGGCCTGCAGGTGTATACCAATCGGTCACATACCCCTCTTGATGATCGATGCTAATGCCACTTTCCGGCCACCCTGTGGGAGCGCCGACACGCTAGAGGCAGAACCTTGTAATGCTAATGCGACAAGGCTGCTCGCTTTCTGCCGGGAGTTTGATTTGCAGCCGACCGCGCAGCGGGACCATCTCGGGGGGACCCTCACCTCCTGGCGCAGTCCGGATGGTACCACGCGTCGACTGATTGATTATATCTGCCTCCCTAGCGCTTGGAAGCCGGGATTCTGGACTTTACCCAACTTCAGCCTGGGTGATCTGACTTCCGACTACGATCACCAGCCGATTAAGGGCCGGCTTACAGCCTCGATCGAGGCGCCGCGCAGGCCCGGCCAGAGGAGGATTTCTGTCGAGTCCCTCCGGACTCCGGCAGGGCGCCAAGTCGCAGCACAAGCCTTGCAGAGTATGCCCTGTGTGCCGTGGCACGTCGATGCCACCACACACCTCAATGCCATCCTGCAGCATGCCCGGGATCACCTCCTGCGAGAGCTTCCACCGCCTCCACCGAAGGCGCGGAATCCGGCTATTTCGGCCCAGACCCTGCATCTCATCCTCACGCGGCGCAATGTGCGCACCGTCTGCCGCCGACTGAAGCATACTTTCAATCGGGGCTTGCTCTGCGGATTTCGCTCGCAGAGCCATGGATCAGGCGAGAGCAAACGGTGCCGCAGACTTCGCTCATGCAATACGAGCCATCCTCCGTACTGGCCGGCGATACAGAGCACCTCCCGTCCTACAGCCGATCTCTGATGACGGCACTACAGCGGCCTGTGATGATGACATCATGGCAATGCTCGGCAGCCATTTCGCCTGCCCAGAAAGAGCCACGGAGATCGAAGCGGCGGCCCTTTTGAAGGAGTACGGTCACTCCACGCCCGTCCAGAGTCGGCTGGACTTTACCGACCTCCCTAGTCTTCCGGGACTAGTTAACGCTGTGCTCGCCATGAAGGGCCGAAAAGCTCCGGGGCTCTCCGGCTTGCCTGCCGAATGCTATCAAGCAAATGCGTTTGCTGCGGCACAGTTGCTGTTTCCTTTGATGGTCAAAGCTGTTGTCCGGTGCCAGGGGCCTGCACAACACAACGGAGGCCTCGCCAGAGCCATTCCAAAAGGCAGGCAACAAGCTGGCAGCCCATCGGGCTGGAGGTCCATCTTGCTATTGGAGCCGTCGGCCAAGATCATACAGAAGGCGTTTCGCCCCCAGCTTGTGCAAGAATTGGAACGGCACAAGTCTCATTACCAATTCGGAGGACTCCCTCGCCGCCGTTTGGATGAGCCGAGCTCCATTGTCCGAGCGCATATGGCGCGCCTGAGGGCCGGTCAACAGACAGGCGGCGCCATCTTTCTCGATAGCAGAGCTGCCTACTACTCTCTGATTCGGGATACACTTGTTCAATCCCGGGTTCACCAACCTGAGGACGCACTCTGGCGACGGGCACAGCTTCTCTTCCCACGCCGCGAGGACCAGCTCCAATATGTGCAGGGCATGCAGCAGTGCGGCCTGATTGCGGCTCTCCAGCTGCCCGATGTGCTGGTCAGGTACCTTGAATCCCAGCTGGGAGCCACATGGTTTGCCATGCACGGCCCTGTGGACAAGGCATTCTTGTCGGGCAGTGGAACAGCCCCTGGCTCGCCGATTGCGGATCTGCTGTTTTCGTTTATTTACAGCCGTTTCCTCTGCCAGGCTGAGGCGCAACTACTAGCCGAGGGACACTATGTTGCCTTGTGTGAGGCCGCTACGCCGGCTGTATTGCCCACCTGGGCTGATGACTCGGCAGCCCTAATTGGGCCACTACCACCAGACCAGCTCCAGGTCTCTCTGCGTAGGGTCATCGAGATCATTGGCATCGGCATGAGCCGAGGTGGGCTGGATCCCAATTCTGGGCCAGGGAAAACGGAGGCCGTGATACATTTTGCTGGTCCGGGCAGCCGTGCGGTGCGCCGTGCCCTGCTGGCACAGACTGAGCCTGGGCTCCCCTTCAACAAGGCTGACGAATCGAGGGGCTGGCTTAGAATCGTGCCCGCTTACACTCACTTGGGCACTGTGGTGTCACACGATGGTGGCGAAATGCCCAACCTCCGCCACCGCGCCTCTCTGACAAGGCAGCTTTTCAAACCCCTGCGCCACAGACTGCTGTACAACCAGCATCTGACGGCACAAGAAAAGGTCCGCCTCTTGGAGGAGTGTGTGTTTCCCCGTTTCTTCTTCGGTGCAGGATTTTGGACGCCCCGCAATGTTGCAGAGCAGGATTTCATCATTGATACGGCTCATAACATCATGCGCCAATCTTTCCGCCCGATTCTTGGAATTTCATCGACGGGATATAGCAACTCTGAGGTCGCTGCAGCATTGGGCATGCCCAGAGCCGAACAACGGATGCACCATGCACGGGCAGTTGCGATCCTCCGTTTTTCTCAGACAGGTTCCGATGAAACCTGGCAAGGCTTCCGTGCCGATGGGGCCTGGTTGCGTGCCGCATGGGCCTCCATGCAACAGGTTTGCGGGGAAAATTTGCCGGTTTCTCTCTGCACTTCTGAGCCGCCATCTCTGGAGGTTCTTCGCCAGGCCCTGCCAAGCGGACCCTCCGTGCAGCTGGCTGCGTGCCGCCGCTACCTCCGCAGCTGTGGGGACGGCGTACCCTCCCAAGCCGGACTGACTGAGCGCGACCCTTCGTGCCACGAGATGCCGATCATTGTCCAAGCACGACACCAGGCGCTTTCGTTCTCCTGTCCGATCTGCCAGCAATCCTTCCTGGACAGGCGACGCCTGGCCGTGCACCAGGCACGGAAACATCACATCCGGTCATTGGGATTCGCATCGGCCTTCGGAACCCGATGCGAACGCTGCCAGGTAGAATTCTGGCATCAGAATCGTCTTGCACAACACCTCAACCAGTCAGCTGACTGCTTGAATGTGTATAGACACTCTGACTTGTTAACCTCAAGCTATGCTAGCACAAGCAAGGTACCCACAGCCTGGCAGCCGGCAACCAGGTTCCAAGGTCCCCGCCCATTTTGGGCGCAGCTCAACCCTGCAGCTGAGGATGTAACAGACTAAGCTATTTACAGCTCTCTAGGCCTGGCAGGGTGACTTTCGCACCACCGTTTGCCAGATGACGACTTTTGGTGTACAGCATGCTGGAATTCAGCGCGCGTCAACTCAGGCACAAGCAAGTCCGGGAAAAAAAACCCTAAAAGCCACCAGATCTGATCTTGCAGGCTGAACCCCAAAAGCCTCAAGAGCCTCTACAGGTCCCCTCTGCAGCCCGAGGCCGGGCCCGGGCAGAGCCGAGGCCGAGCTCTCCCCCCCCTTCCGGTAGAGAGGGGGGGGGTTTTGTGGGAGGGGTTCTGTCTTGGGGAGGGGGGGGGTTTGGTTTGGGAGGTGCAGAGTCTCTAGAGGCCGGGATTGTTGGGGATTGATCCTTTTTGTTCTGGCTTCTATGGGCTTTTGATTTGGTTTGGAGGTGGGGGGTTGGGGATTCCTTAAAAGGGCGTCCTCGCTCGCAGGCGGCTGCCTCTCACAGAGGCGCCGGGGTGTGCCCGCAACTGTAAGGCTGTAAGGCCCAGGCTCAGGCAGCATGATCTCCAGAGTTCTCTCATGCACATGTGTGGTGGGGCCTGGAGTCTTGGGAAGAGTTCTTTTCAAGCGCTCGGGTCGGCCAGGGGTAGGATGCAAGAGATTTTCGCATACCGGTGCCAGGGATTTTTCACCTAAATGCCCGTCGGCCCTGCTTGCTTTCTGTGAACTTGGACTTGGCTGCGAGCTGAGATTGAGAGCAGCCCCGCCGTGCTTGAGCGCCTCGTTCATGTTGCTCATCGCTTTGACATGCTGATGATGCCTGGGTGGGCGGTTCTTCGGTCCTGGGTCCCAGTCCTTTTTTTCCAATCAGAGAACGGTACTTACGGGTCCAAACCAAACATCCTCCAAACCCCTCCAAAACAAACGTGCAGAGTCGACTTCCAGGCCCCAGGCCGCTCTTTGCGGCGCTTCCGCGGCGCGGCTTCGGGGACAGCTTCCGGCTCTCTCCGCGCGTCTCTGGCGTGTTCCGCTGGAGCAGAGGCCCCTTGAAAACATAAGCCCTGAAGCCTACAGCGTTTTGGCTTCGTGGAGTCTCTGATCCGCTGGTGTGCACACTTGGCCGCAGATGTTTGGCCTTCATGCCCAGAGGAGATGATCGTTGCTTAGCGGCCAAAACAGACGCTTGATCGATCTATAAAGGTTCACCATGGCGCGCTTTGAGGGCTCATGCGGATCTATCTGGAAGAACGGCAATGAACAATCATGTTGTCGAAATCAACCGTCAGTGGGTTCGTCGTCGGCGGAGTCGTCAAGTCACATCAGGAGGATGGCTCCTCGACAGTTGCTGGAAAGGCGTGGCAACGATTGCGGAAGCTACGAAGCATGCTTTGGATTGGGACACTGTTTCTCAACGCTTTGCCCGCGCTGTGGCGTGTTCGGACCCTCTCCCAGACTATGTCTTGTTCAGTGCTCAGGTCAGGCTTCCCCGAGCGTTAGCAAGAGGTTGGACAGCGTCGCAGTGGCTTCGGTGGCATCGCAGCCGCTCAGGCATCACTGAGAGAACTTCGGTCGTGAAGTACCGGGCCATGTATATGAACACAGACCCTCTCCAAACTGTTGTCAGGTGATTGTTGGTGGTCGAGCATGTATTCGGAGACTCTTTCATGCATCAGCTCTGTGGGCAGATCCTTGCATCCGGAACTCTCGCAGCATCTCTTACGAGACTTTTGGAGAAGGCCTCGCAAGAAGATCACCTTTTACATATTTGAGATTGAACATTGACTGAGAGTTTGTCTTCAAAACTGATAGAGTCTCAGTTTGGTGCGTCTTCACAGGCCTTCACAAGCAGGAAGACAAGAGTCCCCCCCAACCACACGCCGGGGGGGGCCTCCTCAGCCCCTCCTCCTCCCTTTCTTCCCTTCAAAGAGGACGGCTTCCGGGCGGCTTCCGCCCGCCGGGCTTGGGGGCCATGGCCGGGGCTGCCGAGGCTGCCGAGGCTGACTTTGCCTCGCCTGGGGCGGGTGGCGCTGATGGGGAAAGAGCCTCGGCCTTTTTGGAATCCGAACATCACCGAAACGTTTCAGACTGTTTCAAGTTTCAAGGGGGTTTCAGGGGAGAGATGGAGAGGGTTTGGATCCGGAGTCTTGTGGGGTGGTTTTTGCTTTTGTTTTCTGGGCTCTGGGCAGGGTTCAGGGGTTTAGGGTTTGGGGCTTTCTGGTGTCTGGCTTTCCGGATTTTGGGGTTTAGGTGTTTAGGGTTTCAGGGTTGGGGTCTTCGAAGGTTCATGCGCCAAAGCTCACACCCTAAACTTGATGAACTTCGGTCCCAGGGTTTCTGGGCTCAGGGTTGATAGATTTCGGGCTCAGAGTTTCGGAGTTTAGCATTTCTGGGTTCGGAGCTTTTCATGGCTTTCGGTTTCTGGGTTGAAGGTTTCGGGGTTGAGGGTTTCTGGCTTGAGGATGTTTCCAGTCGGGGTGTATGGGTGGGTTCGCGGTTTCTGGCTTTAGGGTTTGAGGCTGCAGGGTTTCTGGGTTTGGATGTTTTGGGCTGGGGAGTTTCTGTTCAGGATTTCTGGGTTCGGGTTTCTGCGTTCAGGCTTTCTGGCATTTTTAGGGTTTGGTGGTTCAAGATTTCGGAGTTTGACTGTTGTGGGTTTCTGGGTTTAGGGCTGGGCCTCACCCGTTTGTCCTTGTGCTTCCCGCCCCGAGTTGTATCGTAAAAGCAAACAAGCGAGAAGCACGGCCATGCCACCATCGCGATAATGCGGGGCACGATTGGAAGCTACGATTTTGCAATGTCTGGGTCCCTGCCCAGGGGTTCTATTTTGCAACTTCGGGCCATGAGTGTTCGCATGCTGCACATGAGCTCACATCCTCAGGCCGGGAGAGAAGACCCTTCTTGGGCCGGGAGAGAATGCCGAAACACACGGTCCCCCCTTGTCAGTCCAGAGGGGGGGGTTCTTTAGACACATATTTCGCTTAGACTCCCTTTGTGCTGGTATTGCAAAGTAGCTTGAAAGCCCGAGTCCAGTTCTTCACGTCCTCTGCTCGCATTCAGGGCCAGGGCGGAGGGAGCAGGCGCCATCTTGAAGCGGTTTTGTTGTCTGGTAAGAGGATACAAGCGCACACGTCATCGCACACACCTCCTATGTCTCAACTTTCTAGTCGAGCAGGTTCCGGTCCTGGGATCCTACGCAGGAAACCTTCCGGAGGCATCTGTGTCTCAGCTACCTTTAGTTTCGTGTCTTACGGCATCGGCATTGGGTTTCATCTTCACGTGGCTTTAAGGGTTTGAGGGTTTATACGGCGCTTGCAGGTCCAAGTCCACGTTTTGTGTGTGTGTGTGTGTATGTGTGATGTGTGTGTATGTGTGATGTGTGTGTGTGTGTGTGTGTGTGGCTTTATTTGTGTGTCTGGGGTTTCTCATCTCCATGTGGTTGTTGGAAGGCTTGCATCCTTTGTCAGTGGTGGTTGAAGACTTGTGGTGATTTGAGTTTGCTTCCCATGGGTTGATGTGGTTCTTAAGGTGCACATAACAGATTTCGACGGTTTGTGTTAGATTCTGTGAGGCTTCAGCCGGTGTTCTGGTGCTTACGAAACATGCAGCGCTTTTGGGCCTTCGTGTTGGCTCGCTCGCCCGCGGTTTCTGCAAGCTTCTTGTGGTGAGATGTAGTTGGTGCAAGGCTTAGGGTTTTGTTGTCATTTCCTTACCCCCCCATTCGCTGAAACTCCCATATGTTCTGAAGCCTCTGCCGTGAAAAGTCAAACCAGGAGTTGTGCAGCTGTGATCCCATGCTGATGTCTCCTGGCTTCCCGCATTTCACAAAATAGCGGGCAAATCGACCGTACCAGTGCCGGGCTCTCAGGGCCAGAAGCAATGTTCAAGCATTTTGTCGTTGTTGTTAACCTTCTTAGCAGTATTGTCATGTTAGCCTGCAGCAGTGCTCGGAATGTCAAGAATGCTTTTGCTTGGAAGCTGGCTGAGGCCTAGGAGCTGATGACGTCCATCCCGAGAGACTATATAACACATGTTGCAGGATAGTTTACATTGAGCTATACGGTACAACATGCAGCAGAGTATACAATATACACTGCAGTACATTGCGGGTCACTCGAAACAATGCAATGCAGTGCTGTAGAATATGAAACAATACAATGGTACGTACGTCCGTTCATACGGACATGCTTTCATGCTTGTACTACATACGTACGTACATCCGTTATACATACAGACAACAGACCACCATCAGAGGAGATTCCCGCAGAGGCATCCCTTGGCGATGTCATCGTTGAACCGTAAATGCACCTTGGCTGGGCGACAAAGCAGTCTCCCAGCACCTATCTCCTTTCTGCAGCAGTCTTGCCAAGCAAGGCTGTCTCGACGTTTCTCGACTGTACATAACCCAGAGAGCCCAAGACCTCGGCGATTCTCCGTACCAGAGGGAGCCTTCGACGAAAAGCACCGCTGATAGTATGGAGATTAGGTTTTGGATTTTGGGTTTGGAGAAGAGGTTCTATACTGAGGGTCCTATAGGTTTTATGAGGGTTAATTAATGGAGGCCGGAAGAGTTAGAATAGAGGCTTGGGTCATGCTGTAGTATCATTACGCTAAGGAGCCCTATAGAATACCATCATAGAAAGGGGCCTGGATAACCACCACTAACATCAGATTCTCGTCCCGAATACGCCAGTTTTCTACAATAACTTTCCATGGATTGCTGATCTTGACTCGTCTCCTGTTGTGAGTAGAAAGGCATGTTGGCGTCACTCATCTTTAGTTTTGGTGATTACTGGTACATCTATTTCTGTGAAGGCTTGTTGCAGTTGCGTTGCTGCACTGAGCCCAGGCGGCAAGGTTTCTGAGCATCAGAAATCAATGCATTCCCGCACCTTAAATCTCTAAACCCAGGATGCTCTTGGCCTAGCCTAAAACCTAAAACCGTAGTGAAGCCGGGACCATGAATTTCCGAAGGCGATGGCGCAGATGCCGCGGAGCATATTGCACAGGCTGGGTTGGTTTGGTAAGGGTGTCAGGGTTGG